GAGCAGGGAGCCCAATGCGGGGCTCGATCCCAGGACCCTGGGATCATGACCTGAGCCGAAGGCGAGCCACCCAGGCGCCCCTTGGCTGTTGATTCTTATCCTTTAATCTCCTTTGTAGGGAACCAGTAACCTAGTGACTAAATGGGTTTCCTGAGTTCTGTGAGCTAATCTTGAAAATTAATCAAACCCAAGGAGGGGTTATGGGAACCTCCAAAGGCCAGCGGGTCAGAAGCGCTGGTGACAAACCGGAGTTGCGACTGGCATCTGAAGTAAGGGGAGAGGGGCTGTCTTGTCAGACTATGCCCTTAACCTGTGGGTAGATAGTGCCAGAATTGAGTTAAATTTGAGAACAAGACCCCAACAATTAGACAGCAACAGGTAATGGACATGATGGGTTCCCTCATGTCAAGGGAGAGAGGCTATAATTTTAACCAGGCTGGATGACTGTGAGAAACAAAACCAGTCAGCACAGCCTGACGGGACAAGCCTGCACAAAATTCATAGAGAAACCCCTGCAACATGTTATCATGCTCCTCATTGGCCACCACGTCCTGAAGCCACTGCCAAACCGCGAGCTGCATCTTGCTTGTCATGCTGCTCTTGAGGTTGAAGTTTGGGACCTGAGCCTGACCACCCCTGGTAAGGGTACAGAACTTGCGGGTTTTGCCTATTTAACCCTAAACCTTCCTCCTTTTGTAGCCGAAGGCTGTTGTCTCCCCAGTTTGCAAACTGTATGGCAATGAAGCTTTCCCTTGCCTGGGATCAAATCTTCGAATTCCAGGAATTTCTGCTGACAAATTGTAGGACACCCAGCTGGTGTCACAGGGAAGTGCATAGTGTGGGAAAAAATCCCCACACGTTTGGTGACCAGAAGAGTCAGAAGCACAGTGTTCTGTGTGTGTAAAGGAGACACGCAGGAGAAGCGATTTTCCTTTACAATACGAACACTGATCTAACCAAAAGCTGATCCCCCTCCTGGAAGGGTGGGCGTGAAAAGCATGTGAGTTCCGAGGGTGAGGATATGAAAGAGCGCTCAGTCGAAACCCCAAACTGAGGTAGCTCTTTCCAGTTCTAGACCAAATTCCAACATACGTGTAGAGGGAGGGATGCCCCCTTCCCCGTGCCAAGCAGGTCTCCTACAGTGGGGTGGCCTACAATTCAACTCAATTCTCACACCATCTACCTGGAGGTGGCGTCAGATCCCACAGGTGAGGGCTCGGTCCTACATGACTGCCCCACCCCTGGAGGAGCCAGTCACAAGCCCAGGCTGTCACCTGTACCTCTGATTGGCTGGCTTACATTAGAGGTTCCCACGACCCCCTTCTTGGGCTCAATTAGTATGCCAGAGCAGCTCAAAGAATTAAGGAAACCCGTTTACTCACTAGGATCAACGGTTTATTATAAAAGACAGTAAAAGATACGAATCAAGAGCCAGATGAAGAGGTGCACGGGGCAAGGTATGTGGGAGCTTCCATGCCCCCTCCAGGTGAACCACTTTGGGGTACCTCCACGTGCTCACCAACCGGGAAGCTCCCCAAACCCACTGGATATTTACGGAGGCTTTATTTCATAGTCATGATTGAGTAAATCACTGGCCTTTGGTAAGTGATTCCACCTCCAGCCCCTCTCCCCTCTCTGGGGGTGAAGAGGTGGGACTGAAAGTCCCAGTCCTCTAATCACAGGGTTGGTTCCCTTGGCAACCACCACCCTTGGAGGATTTCCAAACTTCACCTTATTTACACAAACCCAGTTGTGGTGGAAAGGGGTTTGTTATAAACAGCAAGACACACACTTCACCTTCATGGCTCTGAAGCTTTTTTTTTCCCTGCCAAGAACTGAAGACAAGACTAAATATTGTGACAGAAGATGCTCCTACTGCTTGTAGCTCAGGAAATTCCAAGGATTTGGGGAGCTGTGCTGGACGATGACCAAATACACAGGTTTCTCATAAATCTCATTATCACATAGCTGTGTAAGGGTGTCATTAAAAGACTGGGAGGTAAATACCCACATATTTAGTTAATAGGGTAAAAATTCATTGCCTCTGAGGAGAAAGACAATCTTGACAGCTGTTATTTTATTTATTTATTTATTTTTTTAACCTGGAACACGTGGTCTTATGGAGACCAGGGAACTAGGTTATACCTTCTTGCTATAGCAAGCTCATACTGTGTCAGACCATTTAGATCATTTGCCACAGGGCGCTGCTTGCAAAGACAGCCGTTTTTATTTACAGGCTGACTGAAAATCTGAATTAGCAAAAGGAGTTATCTATTGAAATGGCAAAATGAAAACCAGGGCAAGTAGACAAAATTATTTTCATCATATAAAAGGGAATGAGCTACTGGTAAGCGCTGTGAATTGTGCAAGACTGTTGAATCTCAGATCTGTACCTCTGAAACAAATAATGCAATATATGTTAAGAAAAAAAAAAAGAAGAA